AATTATTATTAAGTAATAATCACTAATTAATAATAATTACTTATCATTAATTATTAATAATTAATCATTAATTGGTAATCATTAATTACTTTGTATTAATTATTAATCATTAACTATTAATTATTTATCATTAATCATTGACTATTAATTATTAACTATTAATTATTGAATATTAATTATTAAAAATTAAATATTAAATATTAAATATTAAATATTAGTTATTAATTATTAATTATTAACTATTATGCCTCAAATAAAAAAATTTATCAATTATTAAGGATAAAGAAGTAATTTGTTTAATGAAAAGCCAAAAAGTCAAAACCAAAAAGCTAGTCTTACTAGCTTTTTGTTTTTGGCAGAAGAGCCGACATTCAAGCTAGCTGAAAAACCATTTACCAAACATGTTTTTAGCTGTTTGACCAAAAGAATAAGCCAAAAGCCAATCAAAAAGCCATCCAAAAGCCATTTATCAAACATGGCCTTTTTTCAGACAAAATTTCTTCACGACTATAACAAATTTATAGATCCCCTCGTCGAAAAAGACTTTAAATCACAACGATATGAAAGAGAGTATGAAAAATGTACGATTTGCAACAACGATCGTAGCTCTGCTGAAAGAATGTTTTTATTTGATTTAATTGTCGTGCATTTATTAGATTTAAATCTTTTGCACATATCGTATGACTTGTCATGTTGTCAAAATTTAGTTTTCGCCTTAGTAAATGATTTATTTCAATAATATAAATTAGATTCTCTGAAATCGGAAGAGGAGCTCTAACCACATGAGATATGTTATATATCTTATGTTCGTTAATTGTAATTATGTTCTTTCATATGCCGTCTATTCTTCAAATGCATATTGCTTGTATCCAATATCCATGACCTAATATCCAAGAGAATACAACAATTAATACGGCCACATAAGTTCATAGATACAACCAACCACACAAGTAAATAGTCTAATAGCTGCATCTACGACAAACATGTATGAAATATTGAAATATGTTCCCACGAAACAACCAAAATTATTCTTGTTACCCAATTAAATTGCCAAAACACCTCAAAAAATTATCAAAACTAACACAACAAAAAGTCCAAATCAAACATTTGAGTTCGTTCCAAAACCAAAAACCTTCCTCAAAATTCGACAACAATGACCACAATTCAAGCCCTTAAACCTTGTTCCTCCATCTCCTACAACACTACTCTCAACAAACGTCGCAACCATCTCTAACAAAGTCACCTTCCTTAACACTAATAATTCCTACAACATCACCAAGAATGCCATTGTCATCGATCATCCTAGATCTTTCCCACCAAAACCCGTTCTCGTATCGTCCTCTAGGAGTTTACGAATGTCGGCCATATCGGCTTTGACGTTGGATGATCATAATTAAGGGATCGTATGGTTCATCGCCTTCGGTCATATTATAAAGGCCTAAACCTGAGTTGGATGTCAAGACTAGCAAACCTGTTCTTGAGGTTAGTGTTTCTTGGATTTTGAATTTGTTTCTTTGTTAGGGTTTGTGGCATTTAATAAACTATAAAGTGGTGTTAGTCATTATTCAAAGCTTCATTCAAGGGCAATGATGTAGACGGGTACGGTGTAAGTATTTATAAGAACCAAGTTTAATTTGAAATTAAACAAGAAAATCGAAGGAGAATTATAATGTACTCTTTGAAAGACTTGTATTAATAGTGAGGATGTAATCTATGGTACTCGGATTCGGGTACCCATGTTCAACAAGTACGTGTTTAAGTATCCTGTAAAATGAAAAAATTTGAAATTTTTTTTATGAAAAGTCCGATCCTCCGAGGATGTAGTTTTTAGACTACATTTCCCATTTTATGATTTTGAACTAAACTGAAGTATCCAAGTTGTCCAAGTGTCAAGGGTTCGACATGAGTACTTGAGGTAAAATGAAAAGTCCGACCCTCCGAGGATGTAGTTTTTAGACTACATTTCCCATTTTGGTGCAACAGACACGAGGAAAGCGAGGTGAGAATTGTAGTCTTGTGGATATCGAACTTGTAGAGTCGAAATCCCTATACTAGAGTAGTGGAGCATTCCAACTAAGCTAGCACTTGCCTCCCCTGTTTTGTAGTTGTATTATCAGAGTTACGCTTAATTAAGTGTGTTTGTATGATGAAGAAATATGTTTATATTAACATGGTGGTTTATACTGATACAATTGACTGATTGATGTGGGATTTGAAGACTTCAGTTGGGCATTTTATCACAACAACGGGGATAACATTGGTAAAGGCAATGTGGGTGGTGGCGGTAAGGGTGGTGGAGGGTCTGGTGATGAAGATGATTACTTTGAGGATTTTGACGATGATGAGGAGGGAGACGACGAAGGACTTTTCAGTCGCTGGATATCTCTGCCAGAGGTATGCAAACAACAGTATAGATAGTATATGTGTATTATAGGATTTGTTTACTCGTGAAACATGTTATACTCCGTGTAAATAAGGAACGAGCCAACAGCCAATAAGAAATTTCAGCTCTTTGATAGAGTTTTCGTTGATGCGGTATTGAGTGAATGGCAGAAGACATTACTTGAGTTACCTGCAGGAATACGTCAAGCATGTGAACTGGTACAAAAGCTAGATTTTACAGCATTTTTTATTTTATGATCAATCTTAGGTCATAAAATTGATTTTCATTGAATTCAGGGAGCAATAAGTTCAGCTCAATGATGAAATACCTAATGAATGAAGCGAGGCCATCCTTCACCAGAGCACTACATCAAGGGCTTCGTAAGGACATGTCAAGGGAATTCCTTGGGAGGTATAAACTAAAACTTAACATCTCTAATCGTTGTATTTGCAATCATAAGCTTGGCTTCTACTCATCTAGTGCCGTAATAGCAGATCAATGCTGTTATTAACTCACTTGAATTCTTAATACAGATTACATGACCATACTATACGATTTACTGCATGTCTTTCATACAATAAGTGTTAATGGAATGAACTGAGCATAATATATGACCTTAAATCCTCGATATGCTGCAACAGGATAATGGCAGACCCTTCGTTTTTGCATAAGCTTCTGTTTGAGCAGTTTGTCACTATTGCTTGTTCTGTTCGGTCAGAACTGAAAAACCGGAAGGGCAAGTATGAGCTTAATGTCTTACTACTTTTAGAAACAATAGTGATTGACTCTTCAATGAGTTCCATTTCCTCTGATGTAACAATCTCATTGTTTACATTGTCAATCATCAAACTGCCCAACCAAAGTTTTTGTTTTTGTTTGTAACAGAATGAAGGAGGAATGGGATTTAGCACTTATAAATGCCTCACAGTAGCAGCGTGCAATTTTGTAATTGTTTGGCCACTCACTCCTTGCTGCTCATATGTCAATACCTTCAGCTATGATCTACAGAATAGACTGCAGAAGCTCCCAAACAACATATTTGAAGCAAGTTATCGTTATAGAGAATTTGATCTGCAGAAAAGAGTTCTGTCTTTTTTATGCAAGGCTGTACAATTTAGCTTAGTGGGATTTACAGCAGGGGCACTTCAAAGCGCCTTGTTACATCTCCGTACTCAAGGAAAAGAGAGAAGGTTTTTTGCACTTCATCTTTGTCTTTTATTTGTTTCATACAGAATTTCTTATACGTGACTCATACAAAAGTAGGCTGTCTGTGCCAATACCACCTTCAAATACAAATGCACTCTGATATGGAGCTTTCCTCGGCCTCTACACAAATTGGAGGTATCAGATTATATGCGGGATGGATAAACTGCTATACAACCATTTCAATGTGATTGGAGTTTCCCTTTTTTTCACTGCAGCTTTCAGGTTTGTTTTACCAGCACTTCCTCCTCCCCTCTCCCTCCCATTAATATGAATTGATGAATTTTCAAGCATTTGTAATCTCTGTCCTTCCCCTTCTGGTTAACTGCATATCTATAATGTTTTATACAGTTTTAGTAAATTGAGTATATCAAAATACATGCTCATATAACAAGTTGAAGTTCCCCCTCTCCCCCACCCCCCCCCCCCTGAAGTGACTCTGTAAGAAGGCATAATTTACTTGAATTATTTCACAGGATTTTGAATTCACAGCTAGAGGACAGTGTGGCTTGATACAGAGAGCTTTGCATCAGTGCCTCCTAAGGCACAGAGCGACAACTCTCAGAAAAAAAGGAGAGTTATAAGGAGGAACAGTACTTGCAGTAAAGCTTAATAGTCCCTCTTCTTTCAGTAGCACCATTGTCACTCTTTTTTGTCATTGCAAGAAAGGATATGGGACCTGTTCCTAAGCTAGTCGAGAAGTTGAGCAGTTACTTGAATTGTACAAAGCCAAGATGAAGCGGCACTGTTGAGCTTATATGTAATTTCCACCATGTTCAGTGCTAAGCTGATGTCGCAATAGAAGGCTACATGTTTACCTGCCATTGCAGCACCATGCAAAGAACACACAAAGATGCAAACTTATAATACCAACCAGTTATGTGTCCAAGGAAGTTACTTAAGCAACATGGGATGAACTATGAAGTGGTGTAGGGCACTTGTTAAGACTCCAGGGTCCAGAGTCTAAATTTATGATCTTATAAGCTTTCCACCAATTTTTTTCAGAACAGAAATCTATATTCATATAGCAAGCACCAAATCCATCTGGTTTATTCTTGATGTGTAGACTAACCAGGAGAGATTTCATAGAAATTCTTATTAATTCTGCATTTTCTGCCCATATACAGCTACTATGGCATACATGTTTACAACAGGTTTTGTGGAGGAGCAGTCATTTATAGTGTGTGTGTGAGTTGGTGGGGGGGATTGTTATTCTGCAAGCTCCACACATCGGTAGATAAAGTTCCAAGAAAAAGTGTGGTAAGAATGATAATGCCCCAAACTTGGTTTAGGAAACATGATTTACCGGGGATAGATGTTGCTCTATCAGCATGAACTGAGGTTATTATGCAGACTACAGTATGCTGTGGCATAGTAGCCCTAATAAAGGTGATGAGCACATGAGAGAAGGCAATAGCTGAAAATGTATTCAAGATGATTTTTACTAAAAATAATAAATCTAAATACAATAGCCTCTCTCTACTTACCTGAATATTTGTTAGTGATAAAAGTATACAAGGCATTTTAAAATAAAAAAGCACCAAAAATGTAGGATGCAAAATCCAAATCTACCCAAAAAGAACACTCCGTATAAGAACACAATAGATACTCTTACAATGTCAAAGATGAGGATACTTGACTTAGACCATCGCGTCTAATGACTCTAATCGCAAAGCAGCACAGGCCTCAGAAGTAGGAATGAATAACTTGCAAGTCATTGATGATACATGGAGGCAAAGTCTAGACATAGTTGATGGTCTCTTGCATCTCCCCATCCTCCCCAACCTTTGAATCCAGCTTTATACCCCGCTTGATGGTCATAAAAAAACACGTCCCACTGAGGGCTAATGTTCACGACTCTGTCATCATTCTGTACTTCAATGTTTACAGAACCATCGTCTAAGCATGCATCTTTATCCCCTTGGCCTTGATGCAACCCACATTTCCCAAAGTGAACAGCACTACTTCTAGGTCCTCGTAATGTATATACAGGACTCCCAAATGAGGGATAAACCTGAGACCACATTGTTATGTCCCAATTGTACTCATCGAAAAAACAAAATTCTTCAGCCTTGTTGTGGATTTTCTTCCAGACTGTCCGATTAAAAGAGTACCCAACATTCCCCATTCTCTCTGCAACCAATGATGCAATACCTTCTCCTCTAGTTTTCACATCCCAGGGAGCCAAGTTAACAGCATAACAACTCAAACACTTCTTAGGTTTCAGCTTTATAAGAAGCTGGAGATTCCTATACGCATTGGGAAATATATAGTGATCTTCTTCAATGAAAAGTATATGACCTAAGTGATCCTTAGTCTCCTTCAATCCATCCCACACCGTGTTCATCATCCACCACCAATGATGTTTCAAAGAGACAATCTTCGGGGACCTATGGTTCCCATACTGATCAGGGTTTCCAGCACACTTCTTTTCAGTAGCATCGTCCTTATCCCTACAGTCTAAAGGCGAAACACCAGGGAAACTATCACGAAAGATATGAGGAGAATACGGCGCAAAAATCTGCTTAACTTGACAGAATTTAACACCTTCCACAATCTTATTCATATCTTCAAAAAACCCATCATGACTAACTATAAGTAGAGTCTCATTAATACCCTCTACACGCGATAAGCTCTCAACAACTACTTTGAGATACTGTGGTCTATTATGAACATACAAAACAATCACAACATGATCCTTAGGCAAACTTGGATACAAATCCAAATTCCGGGGAGGCAAATCGTTCCGTTCCACCAACGATTTCGACAATGCATTCTGTTTTGGCAAGTTAATGTCCCGGTGTTCTCGAACAGAACCCGGTTTCAGATTCTCATGTACACTCTCATCATACCCAATTGCAGAATCAGTTCTAATTAGTGAAACAAACAATAAAACCAATAATGTAGCAATGACTGAAATCAGCACAAATCGCCCAAAACTGCTAACTCTAACAGGAGGTTTTTTGTTTGGAATCATGGCGGCCGAAACAGACATTATATCCAGAATCAGCCAATTTTACAAGAACTACAATTAATCGTGAAAAAAACCAAGAGAAGAAATTGTAACCTCATTTGTTGTAATCTTCTGAAGTTGAATCCTCCAAAAAAAAACCCTTTACTTTGAAATTCAATGAACTCTTTCTACATCGGATAAAATCAGCAATTCCAAGTGAGAAATCAGCAACCCATAAACCCTAAATTCGATTTAATACTAGAAGAGGAATTAAATCGGAGAAATTGTGATGGGGTAAGAAGGTGAAAGATCTGAACTTGGAAGTTTAAAGGGTATAATTTGATGATTTTGAGATTTAAAGAGTTGAAAGGTTTGGCAGAAGATTGATGATGGACTATTCAGAAAGAGAAAATGACTGAGAGACGACTTTGAACTTTGAAGTAAAGACTTGCGGCAGAGGACTTTTCTTTGGCTGTTTTGGGTAAATGTTTGTAATGAAGAAAGGAAAATGACGTACTAACTCCGTTTTTTATTATGTGCAATAATAAGGTATTATCGTGTGGTTTAGGGTTATTACTGAGTCGGTCAAAAGTTACTTATTTCGGGGTTATTCAATCGGTTAGCGCGTTTTTGTTGGGGTTACTTATTCAATAGTTACTTATTTAGGGGCTACTCAGTCGGTCAAGGGTTACTTATTCTGAGGTTAGTTAATCGGTTAGCGTGTTTTCTGTATGAGAGTAACAACCCCTTACCGACCGAGTAACCCCTGACCGACCGATGAGTAACCCCTGAATAAGTAATCCCTGACCAACCGAGTAACCCCAAAATAAGTAACCCTCAATAAGTATCCCCGGCCACACTGTGTGGCCAACCACATATAAAAATTTGTGATTTGCGAGAAATAAAATATTTCTTTGTTACACATAATAAGAAAGTTTTAATTAAATAAATTCATTAATTACACTGATTTGCGTGTGATTTTGTCATGCAATCTTAAAGAAATATTAAATAAAGAAATATTGTGGCCCTAAGGGTTACATATAGCATTATCTATGAGGAAATATTGTTTTCATTATCAATATCTTTAATTGTTTACAATAAGTCTTGTGTAAGGCGGGTGTACGTTAATTTTATTGTAAGATGGTCAGTTTGAGGGCAATTTTAACTATTTTTATGGTAACTTTAACCCCTAAAGAGTAACTTTTAATTTGTCGTTGGTTTGAATTTTATTTTAATGTGTAATTTCTTATACATTCATGATTACATACTATAAAGTCTGATATGATTAATCTAATACATTATAATTTTTTTGTATGAAAAATTTATTATTAGAAAAATTTAACTTTTGTAGTATAAAGGGTAACTTTAAATACTTTTAAGATAACTTTAACCCGTCTTATAATAAATTAACATAAACCCGCATTTTTGGATAATTTGTGAATTGTTTATTATTAAAAAAAATTAAATTAAAATTGTACAAATAGACATTGTAAATGATGTGGATCAAAGGCATCAAAATCAAAGTTTTTTTAATTTTTCGAGTTGTCTGTTATCCATGAGATTGAATGATGTCAATCCAAAAGTTTCGCATGACTAAGGCCCTGTTCCGATTTACTGAAAACAAATAAACTGAAATGAACTGAACTGATTGGGCCTGAGCTGAACTGAAATATTTGACTATGGATTAGTACTGATATTAATCCACTAATAATTATGAAAAATAAAATGAAGTTCAAAATTAATCCACTAATAGTTTTTTTTTTTTTTTTTAGTTTTTTTATTTTCATGTTAACTAATGCCTGTGAAATTAATCTACTATAATAGTTTGGCTGTTAAAAAATGAAACAAAAACAAACCAAAAATAAAAAAAAATAAAAAAAAAGAAGAAGAAGAAGAAGAATATATCCAAAAATAAAAAAAAAATAAAAAAAAAAACGGAACAAAGACCCAAAACTACGCACTTCCATTATTATTATTATTGTTATTGTTATTGTTATTGTTATTGTTATTGTTATTATTGTTATTGTTATTATTGTTATTTTTGTTATTGTTATTGTTATTATTGTTATTGTTATTATTATTATTGTTATTGTTGTTATTGTTATTGTTGTTATTGTTATTGTTATTATTGTTATTGTTGTTATTCTTATTGTTGTTGTTATTATTATTATTATTATTATTATTATTATTATTATTGTAATATATACTAAAAAGTATGAAATTTGGCTTTAATTATCATTAGCAATATCATTAGACATAAAGATGAACATTAAAAAGATCGACTCAAAGGCATCCCTAAACTAAATTGTCACTAACAATATCATTAGCTAAATCATATAAAAACAAATAAATTAGAAAAAGAACTGAACTGAACTGAGTTGAACTGAACTGAACTAAAATGAGTGAACTGAATTGAACTGAAATTAAGCTGAATAGAACCGGCCCTAACATAATTAGAGAATTTGTTTTCCTGCGAGTAATTATTAGTTAGGATTTCCTACTTTAGATAAATTATTACCATTATTTTTTTATAAGATATAATTAATATCATTGTTAGGATTTATTTATCATTTAGTTTTGTATATCTTATTGGGCATGGCATTGTATGTCTATATATAATTTGTTTTCATTAATGAGAAGATATGTTATTGAGTTTAAGAAAATATGGAAATTGCGAGTTAATTCGAGTGAATTGAATTGATTTATAACCGTTATTTTCCTTTTTGTTTGAGTCGAAAAGATCAAAACTCTATTGAATTAGGAATTTTGTGGTTGAAACTATTAAAAAGCTTAATGTTCGTAATGGCAAAACTTAATGTTCATAGTGGGAAAGCTTAATGTTCATTTTATTCAATTATCATAACCTTTCTTGAATTTTATGGTCGAAATTATTGAAAAGCTTAATGTTCATAATGGCAAAGACTAATGTTCATATTGCGGAAGCTTAATGTTCATTTTGTTTAATTATCATAACCATCCTTGAATTTTGTGGTCGAAACTATTGAAAAGCTTAATGTTCGTAATGGCAATGCTTAATGTTCATTTTGGAAAAGCTTAATGTTCATTTTATCTAATTATCATAACCATTCTTGAATTTTGTGGTCAAAACTATTGAAAAGCTTAATGTTCGTAATTGCAAAGCTTAATGTTCATATTGGGAAATCTTAATGTTCATTTTATTCAATTATCACAACCTTTCTTGAATTTTGTGGTCGAAATTATAAAAGCTTAATGTTCGTACTGACAAAGCTTAATATTCATAATGGCAAAGCTTAATGTTCATTTTATTTATTATCATAACCATTCTTGAATTTTGTGGTCAAAACTATTGAAAAGCATAATGTTCGTAATAGCAATGCTTAATGTTCATATTGGGAAAGCTTCATGTTCATTTTATTTAACTATCATAACCTTTCCTTAATTTTGTGGTCGAAACTATTGAAAAGCTTAATGTTCATAATGGGAAAGGCTTAATGTTCATATTGGGAAAGCTTAATGTTCATTTTATTTAATTATCATAAGACAATTTGTTCTTGTTTAATTTTAATGTATATTATGTATAAGTTTCTTTTTTTTTTTAAATAGATGTACAAGTTCATTTCAATATGTTTAATTTGTTTTTCATAGTCAATCGTTTTAAACTTATTCGTCCCATATACCTCTTTAAAGAGTGTATGAACTCTATGTCCTTTACTCCCGTTTTCCTAGAGAAGCAATCTAGTTATGATTATATATATATATATATATATATATATATATATATATATATATATATATATATATATATATATTGTATATATTGTTCATTTCAATATGTTTAATTTGTTGTTCATAGTCAATCGTTTTAAACTTATCCGTCCCATATACTTCTTTAAAGAGTGTATTGACCAATATGGTCCAAGTTCTAATATTTGTCAAGGTGAGGTCCAAGTTCAAAGCAATGCAAAGGAATTGTTTCTGTCCAAATCATTCCTCAATCCTTTGCACGGTTTTGGTTCGAATGTTTTTTACAAGGGGTTGCACTTCACTTAGTGTAATTAACCTTGTAGAAGGTATCTAGCAAGTGACGGTTTTCCAAGCTCCAAATACATGTTTAAAGGCGTCGGTTACAAGCTGAATTGGAGGCAGTTTGGGCGTGTTTCATGCTAGCCGTTTGTAGGTTACTTGGACTGATTGAAGAGGAGTGATTCATGGCACTTGATGGGCGTGAATTATGGAGTTTGTTGGCTGAACATTGCACCTCATTACTTGGGGGTTATGAAGAATAAAGAGGCGTGAATCAAGGCATTAAAATGGGAGTTACAAAAGCTTGAAGGGCGGCTGTTTTGAGCGTGTGTTTGTGATGCTCTTTGGATGCTATTTTGGCTGGTCATCTTCCCTTGTTTCAAGCCTAGTCTTTAGGTCTTTTAATTAGTTTAATCATGTTTGTAATAGGGTTAAGTGGGACGTGTATTCTCCACTCATTCCCAGGCGTCGGTTACAAGCTGAATTGGAGGCAGTTTGGGCGTGTTTCATGCTAGCCGTTTGTAGGTTACTTGGACTGATTGAAGAGGAGTGATTCATGGCACTGATGGGCGTGAATTATGGAGTTTGTTGGCTGAACATTGCACCTCATTACTTGGGGGTTATGAAGAATAAAGAGGCGTGAATCAAGGCATTAAAATGGGAGTTACAAAAGCTTGAAGGGCGGCTGTTTTGAGCGTGTGTTTGTGATGCTCTTTGGATGCTATTTTGGCTGGTCATCTTCCCTTGTTTCAAGCCTAGTCTTTAGGTCTTTTAATTAGTTTAATCATGTTTGTAATAGGGTTAAGTGGGACGTGTATTCTCCACTCATTCCCTTAGTTAATTTCCTTTTGTCTATTTCATTTTGTTAATTAAAGTAGGCAAGTGAAAAGGTTGTATTGATGCTATAAATAGCATACTTTGAATGAATGAAAATCATCCAAGATTATTTGCCTAAAACGTGTGTTTTGTTAATTGAAGTGACTTGTTTAGTTCACTTTGTTTTCCAAATTTGAGTATCCGAATTTGAAGAGTGTTAGTTTTGGTGAGAGTTCCAAGATTAGGACTTATAGTTTATGATTTGGTGAGAGTTCCCTCATCTAGACTATCCAAGCAAACGAGTGAGAGTTCCTCTTTGCTATATCCTTAGCTTAGGGTGAGAGTTCCCCTAACTAAACTGATCACTTGATAATTGAATCTTGAAATCCTTTGAATCTTTTAACTTATCATTTTTGTAACAAGGTTTCTCATCTTGTTTACACATCATTTGGCGCGTCAGGTAGGGGGAAATTTTCTTAAATTTTCCAGAGGGGTCGAATACCTACATACCATGGGAGAAAATCAAGATTTGAGGACAGCTTTGGAAGCTCTTAATCGATCCATTGCTAGTCAGGAAAGGTTGGCCGAAACCAATGCCAATCTACAAGGGAACCTTGCTGCCTTGATGGCAAGGCTCATGAACGAGCAAGATAGGAGAGATC